ATACCAAGGCTCCATTACATTGCCTGGAAGCCAAACTCCAGGTATCCTGCCCATGACTATTATCATGGAGTCCTTAGAAACTCAGGCATGATACAATGGGTTATACAACAATTAGTACATGAGAATGTATTAGTACATGAGAATGTGGCTATTCTTATCTTTCCTATCAACAGTATATAAGGATCATAAAGACATATCTTTACTCTTATGTACCTTTGACTCTGTAACACTATTTTGACTTTTCCTCCATTAACGGACTGTAGATGTCCAGTTTGTAGCTGTCCTGCGTGAAAAGGCAAGGCTAGCTTCCATAAAGTGTGCTGTATAGGTCCAGCCCTGTCATTGATAATAAGTCTAGGAATAGAAGAATTAAGACCTCTACCTGACCATGTAATATTAGATAAGGCTTCTGAGATTATTGTATTGTTAGGAGAGCCTGAAAAGGAAATCTCATGCCAATCTTGACCTTTTTCCATAAGTAAACCTCTATAACCCACCCATGGTACAGATCTCTGCAAGATTGCCAAGGGCCAAACTCAGTTTCTTCGAAATGAGGAGCATGAGCTACTGGACTACAGACAGGAATGGTAGGTTTGAACTCTCTAACAAGGTTATCATCTGAGGGAATGAAAGTCAAGGTCAGTAAGGCAAAGGGTTCTTTTGACAGCTTTATCTTCCAAACCTGATTTATAGCAGACATACATGAGTTAGAGTCTTGCCATAGTTGAGTTACACGTAAGGGAGGATATACAAAACGAGAGGTAATATTTACTTTAGCTTGTTCTTGTAGCTGCCTGAAAATATGAGGGCCTGGAAGAACAGTAAATGCAGGATTTTTGCTTTCAACAGAAAGAAAAATTTCTGGTGGTTTGCCCATCCAAGTTAAGGATCTGAGCAGAGGTGGATTAGGTATGTGAGCCCAGTACTCCTCTCCCTGAACCAAAGGAATACATACTATAGCTGTTAGGATAGCAAGAATTGTAAAGAAAAAATTATCAGGTGATTGAACCAAACCCTGGCTGTTAATTAGATGGCAAGCCCCATCAACGCTCTGTTGCAGGGCTTCCCAGGACAATGGACAATGCACTGTCAGGTTCATTGCTTGATGTCTTGACAGTCATGCAGGTGGGTGAGATTCTGGCCATGCAACAGCTCTGATGGTTGTAGTGTCTGCCAATAATCTGTAGAAATACAAGAATATTCTCAGCCCCTATTAAAGAGTGATACCAGACCATTCTAAATGCCTGTTTGGAGGTTATGCCAAGCTACAGGATGCAAGGAGTTCCACAGAAACTCACCTTCTTCTTTCAGATAGGTTATAGTTTGTTTACACATCAAGTTAGATCACAGTTCACTGTGTAAGAAGAAATCTTTAGGCCAAAGTTAATTGGGATGCTTTGGGCCAAGTTTAGTAGTTCCTTTCTGCTTCTTTTAAATGTCAGTTATCTCAAATGTGTTTGTTAATGAATGCAATCTGTTCAAAACTGAGTACTAAGACAAATATCTTAAGATTTTATGCTTTGAGTTGTAGAAATCCATAGTATTCCAAATCTTCATTATATTAAGTGATTAAGTGGTAATTTTCTTCCTGTTATGAGTATTATAAATAGAACTGTCTATAGCAGTGGCAGTGACTTGTGTCTAGATCCTCACTCCTATGTAGTCTTTTAATCTCCTAATTTTATTCTTCCATATTCAAATAACACATTCTTTCCTTCTACTGTGTTTCTCTGGCTCAGAGTCCACATTTCTGGTTTTATCCCTGAGTTATGCTAGAAAGATATATAGAGATACTGTGAAGATAAGAAATGAATTGCAGCCAGGGATATAGCTCAGCAGCACAAGTGCCTGCCTGCCTGGCAAGTATGAGGTTATGAGTTTGATCCTGAGAGAGAGAGAGACAGAGAGAGAGAGAGAGAGAGAGAGAGAGAGAGAGAGAGAGGTGAATTGCAGCTGTGATGGCTGACCAGTAAAGGTGTGGGACTTGAAATACCCACACAAGTTCAAATCCTGGTCCTAGCAGTTACACTTCCTGTCTGGATGGATATCCCAGCACTTGGGAGGCTAAATCAGAGGATTGTGGTGATTTTGAGGCCAGCCTGGACTGCATAGCAAGATCCTGTCTCAAAAAGCAGACAAAGCAGAAAAGAGAAATGAACTGATGACAAAAACCATGGAGCCTGTAAGACAAAGAGTTGAGCATAGTATGCACTCCAGGTGTTGTATGTAGTAGTGGGTTTAATCCTCAGTGTAAATCTGTGAAGTAGGTGAAGAAACTGAGGCACAGAAAGACTAATTATTTTACTCAAGGTCACTCAGGTAGTAAGAATTAAGTAGTGACAGAATCAGTATTCCAAAGCAGACAGCCTAGCATTTTGAACCTGTGTTCCACTGTACACTATATACTATATTTGTTTTAAAATAAGATTTCTCTTGCACATTTAGGAATCCTAGTTTCTAGTCTCATCAATAGGTTCACGGTTTCAGAGGTACAGTTCCTGCCTTTCTCAATAATTTTTTTCCAGGATTTTACTCTTCAGACCTGCCCTAGGATAGGCAGTAACAAGGTTCTATGATCAACACGAACTTCATTCCAAAAGTGCAGCTAGATGTTTCTCCTCCTCGAAGAAATGAGTTAGAGCAGTCTGCGAAGGGCAACTGTAAGACAAACTCGCTTCCATTTTTTCACCTGAAAATCTTGATGCACACATAATAGCACTAATATATTACTTCATTCCATCCAGCAGGAGAGACCATGAAGTCAGCTGGGTAAAAGGGAATGGAAACTCCCCAGGGCAGACTGTACTCTAGAGGAATGCCACAGTTTCTCAATGTCAAGTTGAACTTTGTTTCTGGTTCTTACCTGTGAGGGCAACCTAGATCATTCTGTATCTAACAGAAGGTTTATATGTTTCAGAGACCTCAGAGCAAAGCATCTACAAAACAGATTTTTGTCTTTTTGTCTTTGATGTATCGCTATGCTACTACAGTCTACTACTTATGTATTAAATTGGGATAATAGGGTAGATTAATGCCATATACAGTATATCTCTCTATAAATGTCTTAAATTAAATTGTGACTTAATTATGTCCATGGCTCTGCCTGATGGCTTATTTTTAGTACTACTTATCACTTTATAGTGTTACTTAACCACATCAATAGGTAAAGAGGAAACAAGTGTAACTTGATTGTTATGATTTGGATGTTCTGAGGCCATATTTCGCAATGGAGCATAGGCTAGAACAGGCTCTGTAGCCGAGGATGGCCTGGAACTCCTGATACTCCAGCTTCAGCCTTACGAATGTTGAGATTACAGACGTGTGCCACCACACGCAGCTTGAATCTTAAATATTCACCAAAGGCTGTGTGTTTAAGGCTTGGTTGCCAGTCTGTGGTGCCTCTAGGAGATGGTAGAACTTTTAGGAGGTGGCCGAAACTTTAGGAGGCAGGATGCAGAGCAAGAAAGTCACTAGGGTCCCACCCTTGAGGACGATATTGGGACCACATTCCTTGGTTCTGTTATACTTTTTGAATGCCACTGAGGTTAAACGATATCTCCATTGCACATTCCTCACCACAGGCTCTAAGGTAACAGCGCCCAGCAAACATGAACTGTGCCTCTGAAACCAAGAACCAAAATAAGGCTTTCTTCATTTAATTTGATTTTCTTAGTTTTTTTTTTTTTATCACAAAATCACAGTTGACTAAACACTGGTAACTAAGTTATTTTGAGATAATTTCTTGGGAATGTTATCTTATAACTGCAAGTAAACAATTGGTTGTAAACGTTTACTTTGTGGGCTGAGGATTTAGCATTTAGTTCAGCGGCATAAACGCCTACCTGGCCAGAGTGAGGTTGTGAGTTCGATCCCCAGTACCAAAAACAAAACAAACCCTAAATATTTACTTTATTTTATTTTTTTGGTACTGGGAAGCTAATTCAGGACTTAGTGATGCCAGGCAAGCGCTGAGTTATTTTATTTTTGAAAAAAAATATTCATAGTATAAAAAAATCCCAGTCCTACAGAAGAGTAGAAAATGGTACAAGAAATATTCAAATACCCTTCACCTGATTTTGCAATTTGATAATATTTTGTGACCTTTGCTTTCTTTCTCTCTGACATGTATTCACATGTACATAACTCTATTTGTGTTTTGATTTAGTCATAAGTTGTTGACATTATTACAATTACCACCTAAACATTTCAGCTTGGACTGTCTAAGAAACACATTCTCCTACATATCAAAAGAATCACCATCACATCTAAAACACTTAAAATGGGTACAATATTACTATCTTATGGTTTCATTAAAAGTTCTTCAGTTTTCCTAGAAAAGGTCTTTATAGGTACTTCCTGAAGCTGTTTTGCTGATTCAGTAAGTGGTCAAGGATTTGGTTGGCATATCCAGTACCCCCAATAGACACTTAAAACATCTTTCATGACATGACATTTTAAAGAATCCAATCTAATTGTATTGTAGAATGTCCTGTAAACTGATTTGTCTATTTCCCTGCAGTCAGATTCAGGTTAAATATTTTGGAAACAATACTACCTCAGTAATGTTATATACTCCAGCGGTATCACATCTGGAAGCACATAACATCAGTTTATCTCATTATGGGAGATACTCAATTAGATCATTTGAGTGAGGTAATGTCTTTAACTTTTGTTAAGAAAAATAAACTGGAGGCATTAGGTGTGGTGGCACACACCTGTAATCCCAAGTACTCAGGAGGCTGAAGTAGGAAGATCACCATGAATTTGAGGCCAGCTTGGATTATATAGGGAGTTCAAGGCCAGCGTAAACTATAAAGTGAGGCACTGTCTCAACAAACAAATGAACAATAGCAACAAAAAAATGAAGAGATGATACTTTGAGGTTATTTGAATGTCTTATTTCTCATCTATTAGTTTTAATAGTCATTAATATTGTTTGAATCTGTTTCTATTTTGGGGGTTACAAAACAAAATAGTAATTTTTCAATTTCTATCATTCCTTTTATGTGTATTATCTGGCAACCTTCTGTTAAAAAAAAAAAAGCTTTGCCAGACTCAATCCTCTTTTCATTTCTCATATCATTTTGAACTCATTAATTCTTTTAATGAAATTCAATGTGTTATAATCCATTTAACATAATTTCTCTCTGAGGGCATGGCTAACACAGGAGAATTAGAAATAACTCCTAATTAGATTATAAATCTTTTCCCCCAAATGGCAAAAATCTCTGTATATCATAGCATAGCTAAAGTCAAGAATAATGCGATTTATCAGAAATAGGAGAATTAGCAATTAATGATGAGACACCCACACCCCTGCCCCTTCCCATCTCCCAACTCCAGAGTTCTGACTGCCACATTTATACTAATCCCCAAGCAAAAGTTTCTCTCTGGGAAAATGGATTGATCTAGGAAAAAATGCCTAGCGGTACTAATATTGTATGGCTCCAATGAAATAAATAAGAGCCAGCATTCTAAGACTCAGTTAAAAAGCTCTGGATCCCTATATGCAGAGATTACAATCTGTTTTCTAGTGACTCTTCAATATGAACTCTTCACTCTTCAATATGAACAGCTAAGGGTCACCCAGCATTTGAGGGAAGTGTCTAATATGATGACAGAGATCTAAACAAACAACAACAACAAAAACAAAGACAACTTGGACAAAGCAGGAGTTTTCCAGAAGAACATTTCCAAAATTCTATTAATATCCTCAGAACAGGGGGCTGGGGATTTAGCTCAGCGGCATAAACACCTGCCTTGCAAGCAGGCGGTCGTGAGTTCGATCCCTGGTACCAATAAAAAAGAAATCCTCAGAACAGTAATAAAATTATAACTAAAATTAAGACAATGATAAAAGGCATTTTATCCATGAAGAAATTACAGGCCACTTTTGAAAAGAGAACAATCAGAGAAATTAAAATGCAAATTTCAGGAATTTAAAAACACTGATAGGGTTGAAAGACAATAAAAGTTGATAAACCTTTTAGAAAGTAGACTAGAAGAGAGAGAGAGGAGAGAGAAAGAGAAATAAAAAGAAGATACGTTATGTACATGATGAATGTACATGTACTAATAAAGTTAAAAAACAAAGAAGACAAATACACGAGAAATTAAAGGCAAAAGATAAAAGTTAAATGATTAATCAAGGAAGTGTTATCATGTGATTAACAGCAGTTTCAAGAAGAGTAAAAAATTATTTTAAAAAATTTGAAAATATTTCCCAGAAATTGATAGGACTATTGAGTGCCCAGCAAAATAAATGAAAGTAAGCACAATAGGATGAAGGGAATATTAAACCTTGTAAGGAGAAAGAGAGAAAATGTAAACTGTATATATATATATATATATATAAATCACATGACAATGCCAGTAGACTTGTCTGTAGTTGGCAGGTAGAAAAAATTGAATAGTGCCTTCAAAATCAGAGAAGGGGAAGTTGTTTCCAACTAAGAATTCTCTCCCACTACCTTGAGTATTTTAGTGTAGATTAGAGACATCTTCAGATACATAAGGTCCCCAACATTTACTTCCCAGGGCCCCTTTCTCAGGCAGTTCCTAGACCAGAGAACACTACACTGTTGACCTTAGTCCAAATCAAGTTTGTTATCTTAATTTAGATATTTTTAAAAGTATTTATTTTTACTTTATAATTGACACATAAAATTTGTACAAAAAAGACAGCCATCAGCAGGGTGACTTACAATGAGAAGTGAAAATATGTGGATTAGCTATAATATACCAAACTAGTGATATTTACAAATCATTAAAATACCACCCTTCCCTAGAAAGTAAAGTTTGTGTGTATTTGTGAGATACCATGCGATGTTTTGATACTTGTGTATGCTGTGTAAAGCATGGCAACCAAGACACTGCAGGTGGGAGGGTGGGAGGGGACGGGGCATGGGTCTCGTCATTATAGGATAAACACATCTATCTCCTCAAACATTTATCATTTTTTGTGTGAAATGTTCAAAATCTTCTCTTTCTTTGCTTCTTTTCTTTTCTTTATTGGTACCAGGGATCGAACTCATGACCCTGTACTTGCAAGGCAGGCGCTTATGCCACTGAGCTAAATCCCCAGTCCCATTCTTTTCTTTTTTTGCTTGCTTGATTTCTTTGCTTTCTTTCTTTTCTGTTTTGAGACAGGGTCTTGCTATGTAGTTCAGGCTAACCTCGAACTCAGCATGTAGCCCAGGGTGGCCTTGAATTCATGGCCTCTGACCACTTTGTGCTAGGATTACAAATGTGCCCCTCTGCTCAAAACCCTTTCAACTAGCTTTATTCAAATACCCATCATAATTATTTAAAGTCACCCTATGTGTAATAGAACATTAGAACTCTTTGTAAATTAAACTTTTGAAACACAGCTTTGCCTATGAACTATGACTGTCATCATGCTCTCAGGGCAGAGTTGAGTAATTGTGTTAGAGTGCATAGTTCATGAAGCCTAGACCATGAATAGCTCATTACAAAGGAAGTTTACTGAGTCAGGGATTTAGCTCAGTGGCATAAGCACCTGCCTTGCAAGCATGGGGTTGTGAGTTTGATCCCTGGTACCAAAAACAAAACAAAACAAAAAGGAAGTTTAGCAGGGTTGGGGGTGTAGCTCAATAGTAGAGTGCTTTGGTGCCTGCTTAGCACACAGTAGACTAGATTTGATCCTTACACACACACACACACACACACACACACACACACAGGTGTATGTGTGTGGGGGGTATAAACCAAGACAATAGAGGTAAAAGGTTAACAGGGAGTTGCCACAGTGACAGTAAAAGGTCATCTTAGAATTACAATTGCGCAGCAGCTTCAGAGAGCGTAGGTTGAAGCAAGTGGAGAGAAGGTTCCAGGATTATCTCTAAGGAGAAAACAAAAGGAACGAATGCGTTGGACTTTATTAAGAGTGTTTTGGAGTTTTGCCACAATTGAGGGGCAGCCATGTGGACAACAAAACAGTGAGCTGGAGAAATTAAAAAGTGAAATGAGGCAGGTATAGCTAGAGAGAATAAGTGAAAGAAAGTGTTAGCTTTCCATGGTTGTTTCAAAACACCTAAGAAAATCTATTTAAAGGAGGAAGGATTTATTTGGGTTCACAGTTTCAGAGGTTTCAGCAGCTTTTCGGCCTCGAGTGAAGCAATACATCATGATGGAGGGCACGTGGAGGAGCAAAGCTACTCATGGTGGCTGGAGAAGGGAGGGGGAACAGAAGGGGAGAGAGCTGTAGTTCCACGCCCCCAATGACATAAGACCCCCCACCACTTCCTAAGGGTTCCACTGCCTCCTAATAGTGGTAAGGTGGGGCCCAAACCCCCCCACCTTTTTTTTAGGACTAGAGATCGAACTGAGGGTCTCAGTTGTGAGAAGCAAATGCTCTGTCACCGAGTTACGTCCACAGCCCTAGGGATCAAGCCTTTAACACATGGGCCGTCTGGGGACCTTCTGGATCTAACTGGAGCAGTAGTTGATAAACAGAAGAGAATCACAGAGCAACCTAAGGAGAATCAACAGAGTAGGGTTTTGATAGCTCAGATATAATCAATAGAAGGAATTGTAGTAGTAGGTTGATCGTCAGGTGATTAGTTTCAGGGGGAGTGTGGCAGGCTGAGGAAAGGATGAAAATGTAGTTTAACTGTGAGAATAGAAGCAGAAGGATCAGGTAGGGTTTTGTTTTTTTTAAATTTTAACAGAGAGACTGAGACACAGTAGATTGGGAAGAGCATGCATGAAGATGTGTTGCTATTTTTATGCAGCAAAGGCTTCCTGGGAGTACAGGAAGATTTCTCAGGATACATGAGCATGGATAATATCAGTCTGTACTCTGTCTATAGTCTTTCTTCAGATTGACTTGCCTAAGATCACCTGTAAGGATAAAACATCCTATTCACAATGACCTTCTGCTAGCTTTATAAAAGTAGGCAATATTCCTAGTCATTTCCAGGATTAACTATGGCTCATTGCCCCTACAGTGACAACTCCAATATTACCATCAAATGTACATCTTGCTATGTCAGCATAGGTAATAAGGAAGCAAATGACAGGAACTGGATATTTTTGTTGTGTGTGTGCAGAAAAGCCCTATCATTTTCCTTATAAGATGCATTTTCAGTGAAAATTTACATTTAATGTCTCAAAAATATTCTTAGTCCCTAATAGTTCAAAGCCTATAAATCATGTGTGTATATCATTTTGATAGGCTGTGTACTACTATTAATACTTAATACAAAATAATTGTGGGAACATTTTAAATTTATGTATACATTTTTGTTGAAGAAATTGATAATGAAGTGAACAATAAAAGTTTTCAAGGTTAAAACTACACTGAACTAAGGCTAGGGGTGTAGCACAGTGGCACTGCGGCTGTTTAGCATGGATAAGGCCTGGGTTTAGTCCCTAGCACAAAAACAGGCAAAACAAACCACACAATCATGCTTGAAGAGGGCCTAGCTACTGCTCCAGCTGGCAACAGACTATAATGTTGCCCATGTGATCCTGGTTTTGCGGGCAGACAGAATGTAAGAGTTATGTGGCCCGGAGGGCTTCCATTGAGATTTCAAAGGCAAACCTGGGAGGCCATGCAATGTTAGCAGAGTTAGAGTTCCTATCGTAGCCCCTAAGAGGGTGATGTATGAAGCTAGGAGAGTAAAGCCGAAACTACAATGGAAATCCCAGGAAGTTAGAGATGCCAGGTACATGGAATGTCTGTTGAGACACAGGCAGTGAGCAGAATCAGCCTAAGACGGAAGCCATGAAGGTTGTTAACTGTCATGACCATAGGGGCAGGGTTTCTCAAGCCCTCTGAGCTCGGGCCATGCCACCCTGGGACCCAGATGTTGGAAATGGACAGTTTAATATTTGCCTTCATGAAGGGTTTTGATCTTGCTTTGGCGCAGCTCTCTTTCTGGTGCCTCCATTGTTCATTTTTAGAATGGATGTGTTTACCCTGTGCTATGGTATCTTGAGAGTATATAACTAATTTTTAATTTTTACAAGGACTCACAGTGAAGCTTGCTTTGATCTCAAAGGAGTCCTAGGACTTGAGCTTTTGACTAGTGCTGGGACTGTGGAGCCTCGGGGGACTCTCAGGGATAGACTAATGTATTTTGCATTGTGAGGAGATGAGCTTTTGGAGGCTAGACACAGAATATTATGGTTTGGATCTGAAATGCCCCCATTCCAGAAGGCTCATTGTTTCGGGGCTCAGTCCCCAATGCAGCAGTGTTAAGAGATGAGGATTTTGTGAAGTGATTGGATCATGAGGCTATAAATTCATAGATTAATCTACCGACGAGGTCATAGCTCCTCAGAGTTAATAGGTACTAGGGACTAATGGGATGGAGATCACTAGGAAAATGACTTTGAAGGGTTTATTTTGTTCCTGGTCCTTTCCTTGGTGGCTTTGCTCCTCTCTCTCGACCTTCAGGCTGCTGCCAGTGAAGGACCAGAAATTTAAAGGTTATAGTTGATAGAATTTTCGGCACAGAAGGGAACCATCTGATAGAATTTTCAGCATGGCTAAAAAGATTAAGAAGCATGAAATAAAAATGGCCTTTATATTAAGAATGTGGGGAAAGACTCCATGACCTCCGGGTCCTGGCATTGTCTCCACCAGACACGTGGTGTGGGTGCATACATGTAGCTTAGGTTTGGGGTGGTGCCTAAGGGGCATTACTGATGCACTGGTAGCCCATTGGAATTCATTTGGTGCCACAGGTAAATTGCCTAGGGGCGGGAACAGTGATCTCAAGATAGAGCCCCTTGGTTCCACCTCCCAGGCTCTCACCCGCTAGTGTCCCATCTGGGGCAAAATCCTTTCAATAGTGACACTTTAAGCCTTGTTGTAACTGTAAGCTTTTAATTTGATCCCATCCATAAGACTGAAGTCTCTAGAATGCTCACTTGGGTTTGTAACTTTATATCAACCTCTCTCTGAATTTTCCAGCTTTCATAAGCAGTTCTTGTCCAATTATTTACAAAGTGAGCAGTTTGTATTGAATGTGCTAATGCTGTGGAGCCAATAGCTGCACTGGCTATCAAAAGAACTAGGGAAGTAATCCCTGCAGTAATCAACCCAAGCATCTTCTTGGTTCGATTGTTAAATCTTTTGATCAAGGGGCTGGGGATTTAGCTCAGCGGCATAAGCGCCTGCCTTGCAAGCAGGCAGTGTTCGATCCCTGGTACCAGTAAAAAGGAAAAAGACAAAAAAAAAATCTTTTGATCAAGGTCTCCACCAACAGGGAAGTAGGTGAGTGATACCAAGGCTCCATTACATTGACTGGAAGCCAAACTCCAGGCATCCTGCCCATGACTATTATCATGGAGTCCTTAGAAAGAAACTCAGGCATGATACAATGGGTTAGACAACAATTAGTACATGAGAACATATTTTGTTGCCATTCTATCTTTCCTATCAACAGTACGTAAGGATCATAAACACATACATTTATTCTTATATGCCTATCACTCTGTAACACTACTTTTACTTTTCCTCCATCAAGTGACTGCAGATGTCCAGTCTGTAGCTGTCCTGCATGAAAAGGCAAGGCTAGCTTCCATAAAGTGTGCTGCATGGGGCCAGCCCTGTCATTGATAATAAGTCTAGGAATAGGAGAATTGAGGCCTTTACCTGACCACGTAATATTAGATAAGGCTTCTGAGGTCATTGTATTGTCAGGAGAGCCTGAAAAGGAAATCTCATGCCAATCTTGACTTTTTCTCGTAAGTAAACCTCTGGGACACCAGTCTATAAAGGAATAATTGAATTTGCATATAATCTGCCCATGGTATGGATCTCTGCAATATTGCCAAGGGCCCAAATCACATTCCTTGAAACGAGGAGCGCGAGCTACTGGAATACAGATAGGAATGTTAGGTTTGAATTCTCCAACAAAGTTACCATCTGAAGGAATAGAAGTCAAGGTCAGTAAGGCAAAGGGTTCCTTTGACAGCTGTATCTTCCAAACCTGATTTACAGCAGACGTACAGGGGTTAGAGTCTTGCTGTAGTTGAATTACACATAAGGGAGAATATACAAAATGAGAGGTAATATTTACTTTAGCTCTTCTTGTCGATGCTTGAAAAAATGGGGCCTGGCATAACAGTAAATGTAGGATTCTTGCTTTCTACAGAATGGAAAATTTCTGGTGGCCTGTCCATCCAAGTAAAGGGTCTGATCAGAGGTGGATTAGGTATGTGAGCCCAGTACTCCTGTCCCTGAACCAAAGGAACACATGTTGTAGCTGTTAGGATAACAAGCACTGTAAGGAAAAAACTGTCAGTGATTGAATCAAACCCTGGCTGTTAATTAGATGGCAAGCTCCATGACTGGTCTGCTGCAGGGCTTCCAAGACAGTGGTGATATGCTGTAAGGTTTATTGCTTGAGGTCTTGACAGTCATGCAGGTGGGTGAGATTCTGGCCACGCAACAGCAACAGCTCTGATGATCGTAACATCTGCCAATAATCTGTGGAGATATAAGAATAGTCTTGACCCCAATTTAAAAGTGATACCAGACCATTCCATACACCTGATTGGAGGTTATGCCAAGGTACAAGGTGTAAGGACTTCATAGAATGGTCAGATTTTCGTTCCCAGCATATCATATCTGTCAGCAAATCAGAATCAAAGGTAGGGTTTAGAAAATTTAGAACATATGTAGCAAAATCTAAGTAGATTTGAGGAGAATTTTGACCCTCTAGTCCCCCTTGTTTTTGTCTGATTAATTGAACTTTTAATTTAAAACAAGTACACTCAATTACTGTGTGACCTTTGGGATTATAGGGTATTCTTGTGAAATGTTTCATATCCCAGTTGTTAGGATAATACTAAAAAAGCTTGGTAATATAAGTAGGTCTAATACTACATTTTATTGTTAGTGATACCCTTAAGTTAGCAAAAACTGATACACAGTAATGTATGATTACATGTTTATTCTACTTACCTGAATGACAGGTAGCATGGAAGCTATCTATAGAGGCACGAATACATTTAAGCTTGTTATTACTTATTGAAAGGTTTTTGCCCCAGATGGGACACTGTAGCCGGTGGGAAGCTTGGAGGTGGAATCAAGGGGCTCTATCTTCCCCAACCCTAGCAATTCACCTGTGGCATGAGATGAGTACCAATGGGCTACCTGTGCATCGCTAATGCCCCTTAGGCACCACCCCAAACCTAAGCTACATGTATGCCCCCACACCAGGTGTCTGGCGGAGAGAATGCCAGACCCCGGAGAGAATGCCAGATCCCAGAGGGTCAGGGGTCTCTCCCCACATTCTTAAAATAAAGGTCATTTATATTTCATACTTCTTATCACGCCAAAATCCTATCAGATGGTTCCCTTCCGCGCCGAAAAATTCTATCACTTATGAGGTACAAAAGGTTAGCTGTAATACTTTTGTGATTATAATTCTGTTGAGGAACAGGCCCAGAAACATGTTTACAGGCAAAAATAACACAATTTGTCCAGCCTGTGCTATGGTAATTTTAAATGTCTATAATAAAGGTTTGGAAATGTAATGAAAAAAATTATAGGCTTATCCTAAATTATAAAAAATGGAAGCCAGGGGCTGGGGATTTAGCTCAGCGGCATAAGCACCTGCCTTGCAAGCAGGCAGTCGTGAGTTCAATCCCTGGTACCGATAAAAAAAAAAAAAAAAAAAGGAAGCTGGGTTTATCAGAGTATCTGTATTACGATCACAAAAAGCCAGTGAATTGGGGGGATTAAAATAGGTTGTAATAAGACCATTAAGGAATGCAGCAGTTTTAATGAATGTATCCCATAGCACTTTTGAAATTACTTGTAACAGTGTGGGCTTAAATTGACCACCTTGGTAGTAACAAGTAACAAGTGATGTTATTATGCTTGCCTGTCCATCATGGCTGACATAAGGTAGCTGCAGTAACTGAGGAGAGCCTGAACCTAGCAATGTCAGGGAGGCGGGACTAAGCAACCAAGTCTGCATCCATGATTGGCTGTTTACTACAGTGACTTCAGTTCTCATACCCAGCAATGCAGTAAGAGCTTTGTCAATTAATTTATGAGTACTTGTATGAAGTGAAATACCCTGGGCAAAATAAGGTTTATTGTTTAAAGGCTTGTTTTTAACAGGTTCATTTATAGGATCAAAGGCAGGAGTGGCAATTTTCATGGAACTCAAAATTGGCCTTTTTACTCTTAAATAACAAATGTAAGGTTCCCTGAGTGAATGTAATTCTGCCTGCTGATTGGTTTGATGGACTGGGGAAACTAGGGGCACAGAGAGATTGTTGGTAGTCTGATTAGGACTGGATAAAAATATCTTAATTGGTTTTGAATTATTGGAGTATTGGCTCAGAGGCCTCTTACTCTTATTGAAGTATTTTAGTTGGGCACATGATTTGGTTTTTGTAAGAGTATACCATTTTTATGAAATTTAGATTTACAGTGTTTTTTCCAGTGAAACCCTTTCATACGTGGACACAGACTAGGCGCAGCCTGTGTATTTAAAGGGACTGGCACCTTTAGAGATGCTGCATAGTTTCTTCTAATATGTTTTCCTTTGTCATACTTAAAACATTTAATTACATTTAATTTGTCAGTAAGGTGTTGGGACACAGCCTGTGCTATAAGTACCGAAGTATGAGTGGAAGATCCAACATGTTGGCATGTTTGAATATAAGTGGACAAGTCTGTAGTGTGCAGGACTGATGCCAACGCTCTCTTAAGTCTTCATTAGCATTGTCATATGCTAATTGAGGAAGGATAAATTTAGCAGCCTCTTGAGATATTTGTCTATGTACTGCTTCTTGTAGTCCAGCTATAAACTGTGTGTAAGTCTCTGTAGGGCCTTGCAGAATTTGGGTAAATGATCTATTAGGTGTACCATCCTCTGGGACGGGGTGGGGTTTTTTTGTGAGTGGGAAAGCGGGAGGTATGCTGTGATGTGTCTGTACAGTAGCAGTCTCTGAGTTGGGGGTGGCAAGTGAGGCCGCATATGTGAGTACATTGGAAAGACTTTGTATTTCTTGATGAATATCTTTGTGAATATGTTGTAATAATGAACTCAATTGATTGTCTGCATTTTCAAAATGAGCTTCATTCATCCCTCTCAACTCATTTGGAGGCATATTTCTGTGATGATCTGAATTATTTGCAATTGTTACTTCAGGGCTCCTTTCTAATTCACTTGCCTTAGCCATTAGTTTGTCTTTTGTAATGGAAATGTGATGTTGGTCTGTGTCCTTTGTTAAGCCAAGTGTCCAGTAATATTTGGGAGGAAAGAGAAAATGGTCTTGCCCAGATTGGGAACTGACTGACAGTGTGTGGTAACACAAAGGCAAGAAGTTGAGAGTGCTCTACAAGAATTCATTGCCATCTCTTAGTTTAGGCTAAGATCAGAGCAAGGAATCCTAAAGGGCCAGAAAGCAGTAGAAATATTTGAGATGATGAGAATCTTTTTTTTTTTTTTTTTTGTCTTTTTCATTTTTATCCGTACCGGGGATCGAACTCACGACCGCCTGCTAGCAAGGCAGGTGCTTATGACGCTGAGCTAAATCCCCAGCCCCGATGATGAGAATCTTAAAAGGTATTCTAAAATCACAAGAATTAGAGAAAGAGTGGACAGTTTTTGTATCATAGACATTGATGTTTGTGAATGTGTGTTTTAGAAGTGAAATGTCTTGAGCCATGACATGGTTTTAAGGGTAGCGAAATATATCTTTAATATTTCATGTAATAAAAAATAGAGATGAAGAGGTTAATTGTGAACTTTGTGGGAAATTTGGATATAGTCCCTGACTTTTTCACGAACCTTGGATCTAGTCCCTTTTTCAGGAACTAAAACGAATACCATATAAGACTAATGCAATTTTTGCCAGTCTGGAACTCTTTAGGATTTTGAATCATTTGGGATAATTTAATTTTCTAGATAATTGAAGATTAATCCTTATAGGCATCTGCAGTTGTTCAGAAGAATCATTAAATAAAACTTAAAATATACTTCACGATTTCTTTGTGGGGCTGAGGGTCAAATCCAGCGTAACTTACTTTTGAAAGAGTTTTGGCCCTGACAGGACACTGTAGCAGGTGAAGCCTTAGAGGCGGAACCAAGGAGCTACTATGTCCCCCACCCCTAGGAATTTACCTGTGACTCCATCTTCCCCGCCCAGGAATTTACCTATGGCGCCAAAGACCAATGAGCTACCCCTGCAGCCCTAATGCCCCCTTAGGTTCCACCCCAAACCCAGGCTACTTATATACCGCCCACGCCACGCCTCCGCCAGAGAGAAAGCCAGGCTCCAGCGGTTGGGGGTTGTTTTGGTTTTTTCTCTCCACGTTCTCAGAATAAAGGCCTCTTTTGTTTTATACTTCTCATCTTTTGGACCTAAAATCAATTAATTTATTATGTTTATTCATTTATATTCGTGGAGTAGTAAAGATTGAACTCAAGGCCTCATATATGCTAGGCAAGCACTCTACCACTCAGGGGCAGTCCCAGCCTTGTCTGTTTATTTATCTTACCTAGTTTCAATGAGCGACTGGGCTCACACTTGGAGTTCTCCTTCCTCAGCCTCTTGATTAGCTAAGTGTGTACTACAAAAGGTGGTACTGTAGCAGAAAATGCTCTCCACAACTTGCCCAGCCAGTATACTTCAGTTTAATTGCCCAGGTTCCAGTCGCTTCTTGTCTCTTAGAAATAGCTGATCACTGTGATGCAAAGCTGGTCTGAGGCTGGAGGAGCACTGTGAATTCGAGGCCAGCCTGTGCTACAATGTGAGTTCAAGGCCAGCCTGAACTTCAGAGTAAAACCCTGTCTCAAAAAAAAAAAAAAAAAAAAAAAAAAAGCTGGTCACTAAGATGCACATTGTATAGGCTAATCCCTAAGGGATAAGCTATTCTGCTTCTGTACTTCCTCCTTGCTTATCCCATCGAAAGCCCTAGCCCATCCATCAGAGATCAGGGCCAGATACTCTGGGACTCATCCGGATGGTGCTGGTCAATGTAAATAAATCTGCCTGCAAATCCTGGATGTTGTTTTGGTATTTCTGCTTGCAGTTGCAGTATCACAACAGGTGTGTACCACAACACCTGGGCAATATGATTATTATATTATTTTTTGGTACCGGGGATTGAACTCATGACTTCATGCTTGCCAGGCAGGCTTTTATGCCGCTGAGCTAAATCCCTGACCCAATATTCTTTGATTTTTTAAGGACAGGATCTCTTAAGCTATCCAGGCTCATTTCAAATTCGTAGATGTAAGTGATCCTTCTGCCTCAGTCTCCTGAATAGTTGTGACTACACTGCATGCTCTCCTGTGTCTGGCTTACTTTGTTTCTGATGCTCATATAGATATTTTATATTACCCTTGCTACATACTGTCTGGCCTCCTGAGTGCTGGGATTACCGGTGTATGTACCATGCCCAGCTTCATCTTATACTTCCTAAATACCTTAACACAGCAATTCTTATCATTTGAGTTCTTAGTTTCATCTCATAATTTTTCTGTTTGTTTTTTTCAGTGTTTATCATCCACGCACCATTCCAGAAGGGCACTGATATTTTGCTTTATCTCTTGAAATAAGATGGTTTCCTTTGTTAGAAGTGTGTTTAACATGGCTAGGAACTAAAAGGGAAAAGGAGTTTTTTAAAGAATAAGAAAATAATTTCTTGGTTCTTGGATTTTGTGTTAGTTTCTTGGTAGCTTTCTGCCCCCCCCACCTGCTCCCACACCCCAATTCTTATCTATGTTGTTTTTTTGTGGTGTTGGGCATTGAACCCAGGGCCTCAGGCATGCTAGGCAAGCACTACCCATAACCCTTGTTTATATGAAAATTTAAGTGATTATCTCAAGGTTGCTATTCACAACTGAAATACTTCATACAAACACGAAGGTATTTATCAGAAAAAATACATATAACTTGAAGGGAGAAGCAACTTAAGAAAGGTATAGCTTTAAACAATAGTGATCAGAAGCAGTGCTGTAAGCTGCTTATAAACTGTTATGTATAATGAGACATTAAACATCCTGGCTGAAAATGTGGATCAGCAGTATAGTGTTTGCCTAGCATGTGCAAGGTTTGATCCTCACCACTGGGGAAAAAATTCTTTTTCATCTTAGTTTTCTATCTCCATATAGGAATATATGATTACACAATGATGTATGCATACAAATGTTTTATAACAGCATTGTTTGCAATAGCAAAACATTGTAAATAACCTAAATGCCCAATAGGGAAATGCTTAGGCAGACATTTAAAAGAATGAAGTATTTCTGTACATTCCAGTCAGTGGTTAAGAATACAGAGCATAGGGGCTGGGGATTTAGCTCAGCGGCATAGGTGCCTGCCTTGCAAGCAGGCTGTCGTGAGCTCGGTCCCTGGTACCCATAAAAAGGAAAAAGACAAAAAAAAAAAAAAACAAAAAAAAGAATACAGAACATAGGGGCTAGGGATTTAGTTCAGTAGCATAAGCACCTGCCTGGCAAGCGCAAGGTCATGCAAGGTCATGAGTTCAATCCCTCGTACCAAAAAAAAAAAAAAAAAAAAGAAAAAAGAATAGACTATTGGGACTGGGGGAATATAGCTCAGTGGCGCACCACCTGCCTGGCAAGTGTGAGGTTCTAAGTTTGGTTACTGGTACTTCTCCCTGAAAAAAAAGAATATAGACTTTGGGGCTGGTCTGGTTACCTAGCTCAGAGGGTCTGGTTACATAGCTCAGTGGCAGAGGGTCTGCTCAGAGGTAGGGCATTGGGCATTGAACCTAGGTTCCATCCCTAGCACCACACACACACCTACTTTCCAAGACCGTTGAAAGGATTATATAAATTCATCAAAGTGAAACATTTAGAATGGTGTTTGGCAAAATTAGTATTTTATTAGCTATTATTATGATTCCTGATATGGAAGAGCATATTTTGACTTGGTGAAAAGTTGAAGGTTACAATAATATGTGTAGTAGGACTCTTTTTACCAGAAGTATGTGTACATACATATATGATTTGCACACATGAAAGATTATAATTTCTATATACTTGGAACTAAAGAGTTGACTAGTCTTGTCTTGAGGTTACAAATTGCCTTCTTTTTGCGACAGGGTCTTGCTATGTAGTCCAAGCTGGCTGAAACTCACAGGGACCCTTCTGCCTCAACCTCTTGAGAGCTGGAATTAGAGGTGCACTACTATGACTGTTCAAAGACTTTTTTTTTTTCCTAGAACGCATACTTGTTTTGGATGGCTTGGAAAGCTCCATTTGAAATTATGGGAAGTCAGTTTCCCTAACAAGTGTTTGTATAACCATTTCATTGTCACAGAAATAATTAGGAAAAGTTGCAAGTACTAAACTGTTAACAGGGATTATTTCTGAGGAGTTGGATGAGGGAATGGTGAATGTGATGAGATCTTTACTTTATAAACTTTTGCACTGTTTGTCAATAGTTGATTGCACATTTTTGGGGGCAGCAACATCAAACAAAAGAGCAAGCATGTGCTTCAAAAGAATAATGGGCCCAGTGGTGTGGCATATACCTGTAGTTTTCAGCTACTGAGGCAGCGGAGGCAGCAGGATCACTTGGGTCCTGAGTCTTGAGGCCAACCAGTAACACGGAAAAAACCTGCTCAAAAATAACAAACAGGGCCAGGGATAAAGCTCAGTGGCATAGCGCTGCCTGGAAAGTGTGAAAAGTTCGACTCCCAGTACCAAAAAACAGAAACAGTACACATTACTAAGAGAATCCATCTCAAAAATAATAGTACATTCATGTTATGTACTGTTAAATACTTAAGTACATTCATGCTTAGGATATGTACTATTATCTCATTAGCAAAGAGTATTGATAGTGTTTTTTGAATATCAATTTTTTTTTCTTCTGGTGCTGGGGATTGCTGTCTCATGCATGTCGGTGAGCATTTTACCACTGAGCTACATCCCTAGACTGGGAACGACAAGGGAACCCAGTTCAACACACTGTATACAGGGCTACATGTATGTGCGTGGAGAATAGTTAAGGAAGATGCATAGTCAATTCTACCTTCGGTAATTTTTTCTGTAGAGTGAGATGGTGGGGCTGGGTAAAAGGGCTTTTTGTATGATACTCTGAATCATTTGCATTCCTTACAAAGATAGAATAAATTTCTGTAATAAAAATAAAGGACAGTGTTTTTAGTGTTAGGTACCTTGTATTTGCCTGTTATACTTCATTTTAAAGACATTAATTAAACTTTTAGAGTTTTACATTTTTAGGAATAAATCCAATTTCAATTTATTTAGGACTTTGATTTCTTCCTGTTATATAAAAAAAGCATCCTACATTTCATAACTCATTACAACAGTACTTGAAAGTACAATTATGAAATCCCTTTTTTTTAGTGTTTATTAGTACATGTTTGCAGAACATCATGATTACTTTGAGAGTCGGTACATCCACATAACACATTCCTCATCTCTTTCCCCTCCCCACCTTCCTCATCCTCCTCTCTCTCTGCCCGTGTCTTGTGCAATTTCTTAATTTGGATTCCATATTGCAAGTATTCATGACTCAATTGTCAAGGTGAAGTCGTAAAATTCATCGGTATGGGGGGGAAAATTAAGATATATTATCTACAGGCACAAACTCCCCATGATGTATGTGATACCAATAAAGTTAAATTAAATAAAAAAAAAAAACACTTGGGTTACCAAGATCCTACAATCTTAACAGCGCATATAATTTCACGGGAACTTCGGCAATCCTGGTTCACTTAACTTTCCGCGGGTTTAGCAGATTTCCTTCCCTCGCAGCCTCCAGCTCCTGTACCTTGCTCTGGGGGCACCGGGCGCACCGCGGCTCGCCCGGGACTGAGTCAGCGCCAGGGCCGAAAAGTTCGGCGGGAGGCGCAGGGCGGGGCTTCCTCCCGCCGACTCCGAACCCGGCTCTCCTTTTCCGAGTCCACGTCTCTTCCTTTGGACTGGCTTGTTTCTTCAGGTCGGGCCCAGCCAACGTGACAGCCTCAGCCCTTTAAAACGGGAGTCCCGGCCCCGCCTCGAGGATCTCCTGGGGCCCGGACTGCGCGGCCCAGTCCCTCGCGGGCCGCAGGGCGCGCTTCTTCGGGCCCAGCTCGCCCAGCATCTCCGCCCTCGGCGCCCACCTTGTGGGGCGGCGCTCCGCACCTCGGGCATGGAGACCGGCTCGGACTCAGGTCAGGGGCCGAGCGTGCGGCCGCGGGGACGACAGGCTACACCGCGTGCGGCGGGCGGTTAGGCCGCCGCATGCCGGGTCCGCGCGCGGAGCGCTCGCCGAGCCGGTCGGCGGCAGGTGGGCAGGACGAGCCGTGAGCGAGAGAGCGAGGGCGGGCGCGCGAGGGGCCGGCGGGGGGGCCGCTGGGAGGATGGCTCAGCTCTTTCTAAATATAAAACCGGCGTGAGCCCGGCGAGCGCGGCGCGGAGCCGCACAGCGGCCGAGCGGGGAGTCGGCGCACGGGTGGCGGCTCCGCAGAGGCGCGAGGCCGAGGGAGCGCCGGAGTCGCGAGCTCGCGAGGGGCGGCGAGAGCGACGCTCGCAGCGCCGAGGACGCAGGCGACGGCAGGCGGGCCTGGTGGGCGCAGCGCGGCCCGCGCCACTGACCGACCGGAGGCGGCCCCGGGCTCCGCCGCCCTGGGCGCCGCGAGCCCCCCGCGCGCGTTCTCGCCCTCTCGCCCCTCCCTCCTCCCTCCGGGGTGCAACATGGCTGCGGCCGCCGCCTCCGCCTCCCAAGACGAGCTGAGTAAGTACCGCGGCCGAGCCTTCGGCGGCGAGCCCGAACGAACGCCATGCGGGCCAGGGGGCGGCGGCTGAGCCGCGCCGGAGGCCTGGGGCGCGCTCGCGTGGCGCTGGGCCGCGGGGGAAGGCCGGCGGCGCAGGGCTGGGGAGCTCGGGCCTGGCTGGCGGGCGGGGCGCGGGACGCCGGACGCCACCGGTGTTTGTAGGCCTCAGGTTTGCACCGTCACGTTGCGAAATTGAAACCAGAGCTCCGGGCGGAGCCACCTCTGCCCGAGACCCGCCCCAGCCCGCGGTTGGGGGTGTCCGGCGGGGCGTATCGCGGTGCGGGGCAGCGGGCGGGCCGGAGCCTCAAGGTGTGGGACAGTGCCTGCCAGCCTGGTCTGACCTCGCCGTGTCCCCCGTGCTGTTAGGCGAGTTCTGAAAATGAATCTGTAGGGAAGGGGGAGAAAGTGCCCTTCTGTGACACCCTAGAAATCAGCTAAAAGGTCACGGCTAGGCGATGACCCTCGGGTGGAGAGGGAGAGAAAACAGAGAGGGCCACCCTACTGGCTGCAGTAGAGACCATGGGTGACGGCGTTGTCAGAAAGCAGGGTCGGTCAGTGCCCACTGGACGAGAAGCGTTGCAGCTAGGGTGAGCAGTGGTCACCCTGAATCCCAGGCCGCTCTGTCTGCCCGCCTGGGTGCTTTGTGGGAAGTGTAGTCCGGGAGTGCAGCAGGCGCACGCTGAGGTCATGAATATTCAACTTCCAGAGCACGGTTTCTTGTTGCATTTTGGGTAGTTAGTTCGCGTGTTTTAGGTTATTTAAGCACCATACGCCCCCTGCTACCCTTCAGTTTATCGTAAATACAAAGGTATTGTTCAAGGATGATGTGGATTTTAAATGGAAGCATAGGCAAGGTGTTGGAAGCTTATGTTTGTGGAGCTTATGTTGTAGGAGCTCCTTCTAAATCTGTTTGGAAATAATTATGATTTATGTTTTTTGGTGGGTGGCAGTTTAAAGCTACTTTTATGTACATGATTTCATTTTTGCCCTCGTAACAACCTTGCGAGGCAGGTAGGTAGGAATTACATTTGTTTTAAAGAGGAGGCGGGTTTAGAGATTAAGTTTCACACTGCTTTGGTACGGAACTGGTGGGGCAGGAGTACTGTGTGCTCCTTTTGAAGCTGAAGGAAAGATGGAGAGTGAGGCGACAGGACTCAGGGTGTGTTTAGGTAGGTGTGGGCGGATAGCCACAGAGTTCTTCAGGCCTGTCAAGGAGCCCTGTTCTCTCATTTTCTTTTCTTTTTTTTCTGTGGTAAAACACAGCATAAAATTCACCTTCTCAACTGTCTGTCAATTTGTATTTTAGTAGCATTAAGTGCATTCACAGTGCTGTGCAGTTTTCACCACCATCCATCTGTAGGACTTCATCTTGCAAAACTGAATCTCTGTGTTCATTAAACTACAGCTCCTCATTCCTTCCTTCTCCTAGCCACTGGCAACCACCATTCTACTCTTTGATCTTGACTATAGCCTTCTCATGTCAGTGATATCATACTGCATTTGTGTTTTTGTGTTTGGTTTATTTCATTTGCCACGTCTTCAAGGTTCATCCATGTTGAAGCATGTGTTAAACTTTCTTTTTGAAGGCTGAGTAATATTTCTTTGCAGGTAATATACCACGTTTTCCCATCCATTCATTTCTCTGTGGACCCCAGGGCAGTTTCCAAACTTTAGTTATTGTGAATAATGTTGCCTTGAATGTGAGCATACAAATGTCTTCTAGAGCCCTTTCTTTTAGTTCTTCGGGGTGCATACCCAGAAGAGCAATTGCTGGATCATATTTAATTTTTGAAGAACTGCTAATTATGATTATTATTATTTGTAGTGTTGTGAATTGAACCCAGGGCCTTGGGCATGCTAAGCAAGTGAACTGTGCCACAGTGTTTTTAACAGTGGCCGTAGCACTTTACTTTCTCCACTAACATTGCTTAAGAATCTTAGTTCCTTCTCATAGTGAAAATTTGTTATTTTCTGTATTCTCAGTGGTAACCAGTCTAGTGGATGTTAGGTAGCATGATTTTTAAAAAACCTGATGTATTGCAATCTGCATTCTTGTTGTTGCAGTAAACACTAAAATCTTAGTTACCTTTACAAATGGGGAACAAATGAGAGAAAGACTTGGTATCATCTAAAGTATTTGTATAATATATACTGTGTACTTTTATGTGTTGGTACCATAGTATTTCTGGTTAGGGAACTTACTGGCTTTAACAGCTAATGGAAAAGTTAGGAATAGATAATCCATTTCTAGCTTTTTTATTTTTTTGTTTGGTCAGATCAGTAGTCATCAGATACAGAAATCCATTGACTTGGTTATTGCATTTTTTCAGGTGAGATTACACACAGTATTTGGCAGTTGATATTTTATACTGATTCAGAACTATATACATATGTAGCAGTTAGGAAATTTCAAGTAGTATTTGCAGTTTCTGAATGACCTTAATAAAAGGGAAGATGGCTTAAAAAGGTGTTTTCAAACATTTCATTATAAAAGAGTTAATTTTTAGCATAGCTCTTTATTTTGTGATACTGGGGATTAGAGAAAGCTACACCACTAAGCTACCTACTAAATTACATTGAGTGTACCACTAAGATACATCCCAGCTTTTTTTTTTTTTTGTTTTTTAAATTTTGAGACAGGCTGGGGGTATAGCTCAGCAGCACAGCACCTATCTGGCATGCACAAGATGGTGAGTTTATTTCCCAGTATCTCCCCACCAAAAAAGGAAAGAGAGAGACAAATAGTCCTGGGTGTCAGTATAGGAAAAAGAAGAAAAAGCAAACCAACCAAACAAACCAAAACCAAAACCAAAACCAAAACAAAAAATTTGAGACAGGATCTAGCTAAATTGTCCAAGTGGGCCTTGAACTTGGAATCTTCCTGCCTTAGTTCCCCAGGAGTTGGGTTTGCAGGTATTGGCCACCACACTGTGTTACTATTATTAGTTTTGTAGTACTGAGGTTGTAACTCAGGGCCTCTGCACTGAGCAGCATTCCCCACTCCCTTTTTAAGATGAAGTCTCACCATGTATTTCAGACTGACCTTGAACTCACTTTGCATCTGAGGCTGGCCTTAAACTCAAGATGGTTTTCTGCCTCAGCTTCCCATGTACCACATGCCTGCTTTCTAACCTATTTGAATTTTTGACTTTGAGTCAAAGTCTTGCTTAAGTTGTCCAGGCTGGGCTCAAATTTGAGGTCTTTTTGCCTCAGCTCCTCAGATTGTGTCTTGATTGGGTGTGTACCACCACACTTGTGAGTCAGGTGCTTATAATACAATAGTAGTAAGACTGATGTTTATTGAGGGCTTACTGTGTGTTTTAATGGCTTTGCACTTATTCACTGAATCCTTACAACTGTCTGGTGAGTTTGATGTTCTCTTAGTGGTAGAGTTACTCCTACACCAAGGAAGGCTTCAATTCAGGAATCTGTCATTTAGAAATGTATGTTTCTACTCCCTGCAAGGAAGAATATTCAGCTTATAATAAGATCTGTATAAAGTTTTCCCCTTTGTATCCTGCTGGTATCTAGAAGAAATTTTCAATAGTGTACAGTATAAAATAGTCAAGGTTTTGATGTTTGTTGAATGTAAATATTAGATTTTTGTATTAGATGCCAAAAAAGAACAATTATTTTAGAATAAAGGTGATTTGAAATCTAGTATGTAAGTTACTTAAGGTCAGAGTCTGTGGTTTTCTTTATATTTAGGAGCATATTTGCAACGAAAATGAAATTCAATTCAGGGCAGGTGGTAGTTTTTCTTCTAGTATCCTCTGTCAGTTCACAGAAAACTTGACATGGTAGTTATAGTTCTGCAGCAGAGAGAGTTTTTTGACAGAGGAAAGAAGGCAGTTGAGACTTTTCCTGTGGTCAGCTGCTTGGTGGTTTCATATTCTGGGCTTTATAATTATAAGGTATCCTGAGTGTCTGATCTTTGTTGGGATAAAGACAACTCATGAAGGAGCAACAACCTGTAATCTTAAAGTATGTACTATTCAATTTGACCATCTGACATAGCCATGGGAAACTTCAGTTACACAAGCTGGCCAGATAATCAACATGTCAGATACCTTCAGAGAGAGCCTGTCTGCCAGAGCTAAAAATCCTAGTGCTCTTTTAGAGTATAAGATTCGGGGAGCTTTATGTATAGCTGCATGATTGAACTTAATTCTGTGGGCATACTGAGGTAGCTCAAGAGGTGATCGCTTTAATGACAGGCATATGTGCTGCTGAGCTGATCTTTGTGGCAAGGGTAAGTTAAGTGTGTATCATTCAACTTTTGGTTAATGAAACAGGGAGGTTAAAATGGAAAATGATGGTAATATTTCTATTTTTCTTAATCAACTTCTACTTCATTTTTTCACTTTGGTACCATCGTGTTTTGATTTATGCTTTCAGCGAATTGTATTTAATAAAGGCCAGTGTCAATGAAAGTAGTTGGCACTGGGGCACTGACCTTATTTAAAGATACATGTTAGTATTGTAGGCCACACTGCCAGTGTGCTCAGATGGTTTGATCCAGTTGTTTATCTCTCCTTTCAGGTCTGGCCAAGTCATCTTATATGGCATGTTTTACCCACCATTTTCCATTTCAGTAAGCAGACTTTAAAAATGATGAATTTGTGGTGCTGTCCTCAGAGGACTTATAGAGACAGATTTGTATATCAATATGAGTAGCCAATGTGAAGCTTGATTTGAAAAATGTCTAACATAAATTTTGGGAACTTGTAAGGTGTAAGAATAACATTCCAGGATAAAGGACTAATGGCTTGAGCTGAGGTATCTAAGTAGAGAAATATTGTGCATTTCCAGAAAAAGCTTAAGTCTGATATGAAGGGAATTGGGAATATTGTGGCTCTGTGTAGAAATGGGAAGGGGAATAAACATTGGAGTTTGAAATTTGGCTCGTGCTACCTTTATGATTTTGGAGTTTGGGCAAAATACTTTATTAAATCTTTTTTCATCATAAAATTGGTGTAACAAAAACTTACACTGTAAGTTTTTAGAATTATTGTATGTGAAAATGAACAAACAATTAAATTCTCTGTAAATTGATGTTTTTTGTATGGGGCAGTAACAGATGTTACCAACAAGATAGGTTGGGACTAAAGTATTGTAGGGTTACCAATACAACTAGTTTTGACCTTTTATTCCCAGAGAGTAGAGAACTTTCAAAGGCTCTTAAACAGGGTATAACTTGAGTAGATCTGTTTTATAAGGTTAACCAGTGGCAGTGCTGTAACATTGACTGTAAGGATCCAGAGACCAAGAGCAGCATGACTAATTAGGAGGATATCATAGAGGCCACATGAAAGAAACTTAAGGTCTGAATTGGGTCAGAGAAAGATTTGGCAAGGAGGCAGTGTAATGTGGAATCCTTAAAACAGGCAGAAATTATTGGCCAAAGAGGTGAGGGTTTTTGAAGAGAAGGAAGACTTAAAGATGATTCCAGGAGTCTGTTTTGAGAGATTGGGACGAAGACTGGGGGAGAGTATGACCTCTAGGCATACTGTATTTAGGAAATTGGAAATGGAGCTAGAGAACAGATTTGTGTTCAAACAAATTTTATTTATTGAGACCCATGAATTCTAAATGAGTTATTGAGACCCTTGTTGAGTTGATTAGGTAGAATGTTTTGAGTAGGAACTAAAACCTCCGGAATAGGAGTCACAGCTGGTTTTGAATCCTGGCTGTGCCACATTTTGGTTGAAGTGTCTTTGAACACACAATCACCTAACTTGTGGGCCTTAGTTTTCTCAACTATAAGTAAACAGAATGAAAACAAAACCAACCTTATAGAATTATTATAAGAGTGGGGAGAGAAAATGCGTAACAGTAAGAACTTGGCAAAGTGTTTGGCACATGGATTATAGTTATATATGGTGACCTTATTGGTGAAGCTTGAGAAGAAGTAGGGATGATGATGGAATCACAGAAATGCGTAGATGGTTCAGAGGACAAACTTGGGGCGTATACATGTTAGGAGTGAGAAAGGAGAAAAAGAAGAGACAAGGAAGGAGATACGTGTTGGGACAGGTCGTAGGTTACTAGGGTTCTGTGTTAACGGTTTATATTTTCAGTTGTGGATGTTCTTATAACATGTATACATATTGATACTCATATAAACATCATATAATCCAGGTATTTTCTTAATTTTATTATAAGGTTTTAATATGTTTATGATATACACAAATACTTGTATGATAAAATATGTGTTTTATTGGTGGAGTTTTTTAGTCTTCAAATATATTTTTTGAAACAGCATATTTTTGATAAGTTCTGTTTATCATATATTCTTTATTCTTTCTCAAATTTGATAATCATTATATTTCCTCCTCATTCTGAATTTGTAAAGCGGAGCATCAGAGATCTTAGCAAGAATAAACAGTACTTATTTTTTCTTAAAATGGTAGTTATGCGTATAAATCTTTTAATTGTATTTCTTTTGGTGTTCTGAATAATAGATTCTTTATACAATTGCATATGTACGAGTGGATGAACATACCATTGGTGATCCAGAGGATTTTTGTCAAGATTGGATAAACCATGTATCACATTGATTGTAGAGGTTAGTAGATTTAGTTCCTGAGGATGTGTGCATTTTTCTGTAGCAGCATTTAAAAATGCATGGATTATCAGGTAGTAATTTTTTTAGATCTTCATGTTTGTTTGCTCCCTCTCATTTCTTAGTTATTGTGCAAGAATCAGTGATGTTTCTGTTAGTTTGTTTATGTCTTAAACTTCTATTCGCTGTAATGATAAACAAAAAAGTTAACAGGAAAGAAGAAAAAGATAAAATTTGAAATGCTGCTCAGCAGTATGCATGAGGGAAAGAGTGGGTGATGGTCTACAAGTAACATTGTCTGTCACACACAAAAAAAGAATTTTCGTGCTCCAGGAAGTCTCATAGAGTTAATTGTTCTATTTATAAAAAGAGATATTGAAGGAGGCAGCATTATGGTAATTGGATATTTCTGATCCTGCTGTTTTGACATGCTCTGAAATTTTTTTTAAAAAGCTATGATTGTAATCTTTTTTATTCTGAGAAGAGTACAAGAATATGATGTCAGTTTCACTACTGGTGGTATTGGATGGTCCTTTGATTGACAAATTCAGATTGTAATTATCTGATACCAGGTAATCTATCCAGTGACTACTTTGGAGTTTATGGTTTTAGGTCCAAAAGTGCATTTTGTTGCTGTCTTCTAATTTAACTCTTAAGACTAATTTACTCCTTTTCCAGTACATTCTGTCACGTTTTGTATGTATATTAATGGTTATGGTATATGATGCTTAATTCATCCATGTGGAATTTTGAGGGATAGTGTGTTTTATAAACCAGCATTTAGACTTTAAACTAATTAGACTTTAGAATTAATTTTGGTTTATTTTTGCTATTTCACATAATTTTATTCTTCAAGTGTATAGTTAAGTAGAAAATTGGAAAGTTAGAAGAATTGTTTCAAGGAGTAGTGAGGCCATTGTTTGTCCCTTCTTAGATTTTATAACTCTTAGAGTTTTTGGTTGTATGAGAGATGTTTTAATACCTTTATGGTATGCTGAAGGCAAGTAGGTCAAACTACAAGTGCTAGAATTTAAGTAATAACTCAAATAAAAACATTATAGAGTTTATACATCTAAATGATCATTGTTCTGCTAACTAATTAATTGCTTTGGGGGAATCTTGGTTTTGCTTTTATGTAGTGTGAACTCTTAAATAATATATATGATCTCCCTTAAACTGACTTTCATAAACTGAAGTAATCTTGTTCATCACCTTATGAAAACTGGTTTGTACCAGGGTGTCTGCCAGGTACTTGCTCTGGGGAAAGGGCCCTAGAGCAAGTACCTGGCAGATGGGAGTGTTTGTGAACCTCAGAGTGGCTATGTGTTGGGGGTCTGCCACTTATTCACTGCATTTGGGGTACAGATGAGGACTCGTCTTATCACCTGCTTCAACAGAGCCAAGCTGCTCCTGTGATTTCTCTCTTCCTCTGTGTGTCTGCAGGGGGACGGGGGGGGGGCAGTAACAGGTGTGAGCAGGGATGATTGTGACCTTGTTACGGGCCATTCTGGGTTGGGATAGTTTGCAGATGGTTTCCTTGCTTATAGGACCTGGACATGAGTGCATCTGGCTGGGTGCATGCGGTTCCTCACTGGGGAATCTGCATAGGCCAGGGAAGAAGACAAGAGATTGGTGGGCTAGTGGAGAGGAAGATGATCTGATTGCCTTAATTCTGGAGGTCAGGGATACTAGCAAAGACCTCCCGCTCAGTACTTACTGTGAAAGTTCTCTTAGTGCCCCTTGGGCTGCCTTGGCTGCAGGGAAACAACTCCCACAGAAACCATGATTTATTGTCTCGCTTCTGGGCTAGATCTCCCCTTCCAACATACTGTGTTGTATTTGATACTAGACTGCCTGATATTTTTGCTTTAAGTACATTTTCATTTAACTGAATTCCTTAAAACAAAAAAGCTGGATTTAGGAACAAGGCTACATTTAAAACCATAGGAACAGGAATTAGATTTCAGATTTCTAGCCATAGATTTCTAAAGACACATTCTACTGGCCTCATTTGTAGAGTGGCATTTAAATGGTATTTGGAAATTAACAGATTCAGTGGAATTTAACTAAAGGCTAAGTGTTATAACCTAAGGCCCCCTAACTATCACGTAAGGTCTGTTCTGTATAAGCCCACCTGCTGCTTCCCCTCCCCTTCTCCCTTCAAATCTAACTAGGTTAAGTTTTAACTTCCAGGCCTGGATTTTACCTAATAAAGCCTTTGCTTCCCAAATTTTAATTTCTTGCTTCCTTGAATTTCATACCGGGGTCTGAGTTATCACACAAGTACCTTGTTAGATTTATAAACTTGTTGCTTTTCATGGTTTTAGTCTGAAACTAGTAATTGTAGGGAGGGTCAAAGTTCAGAGTTGCTCATTCTTCTGCCTGTCCGCAGACTGTCACTTGCAATTTTTGTATAATTTAGTTCCTCCTCTTAGCTTCTGGGCTCCCATCTCTGAAAGTGCTCCTTTGGTCCATCTGTGTCAGCTTAGATATGAAATCCTTCTTTTTCTCATTCAGTCCCTTTTTTACAAAGGTATTACATAGGTGAACTCTTGCCCTGTGTTGAGTCCTAGGAAAAGGCCTTGCCTTAGGAGAATTTGACTTTCTGTGCTTGTAGTGGTTCCTGCCCCTCCTCTTCTTCCTCTTATTCTTCTCCCCTGCTCTCTTTGTTTCTGCATTAACTGGTTCACACTCCCTGAGTTAAGAGGAGATTTGTGCCATACTATCAGCCCTTCAGGAATTTTACTTTTTAAATTTTTCTTTTTTTCTTTTTAAAACCTCTAATCATTTGCCTTTTAAAGCAGAATCTAATTTATAAATTACCAACAACCCCCTCCTTTTCCTTATATAGATGTATGAACTTCTCAGTAGTCTTTCTAAAGTATGAGGGATTAATATTTCATGATTTTTTTTTTTTTTTTGAGACGAAATCTCTGTGTAGTGCAGGTTGACCTTGAAACTCGCTTAAGGCTGGCCTTAAACTCATGGTGAGCTTCCTGCCTCAGCCTCCTGAGTGCTGGGATTATAGGCTTGTGCCACCATGCTTGGAATATTTCATAATTGAACAGATATTTGAGCAACTGCTGTTTGTGAGGCAGTGAGTGAAGTGGTGGGGTAAATCACAGCTTCTCATCTTTTTTTTCCTTTTTTTTTTTTTTTTTTTTGAGACAGAGTCTGTATGTAGTTCAGGCTGGCCGTGAGCTCACTTTGAAGCCCAGGCTGGTCTTGAACTTGTAACAATCCTCCTGCCTCAACCTCCCAAGTGCTGGGATTATAGGCATGAGCTACCACGCCCGGCTTCCAGCTTCTCATCTTGAGTTGGGAGAAGATGGAGACAAATTAGGAAGTCAGCTAGAGTTAGATTCAAATCACACCTTAAATTGCTATTATGGTCCAGGCAAGGAAAGATAGGCAGTTGCATAATGTACAAAAGGTCACAATTACCTTGGTACACAGGGAGATACACAAAAAGGATCTGTGGGAGTCTGTATGTCCAGAATGGGAGATAGGTAGGGTGTCTGTGTGTGTGTGTGTGTATTCCTTGTTGAATGGTTTTCTTGGTCAGAAGAATTGGACTGGGAGAACTTATGGTACACTTAAACTCTTGGGATTTGGATGGCTTTTGGGGAGTGATAGGATACATAGCTGAGAGAGTTTCTTGGAACTAAATTGGCCTACTCTTAGGAAATACTATTTTTTTGAGCTGATATTCACCATAGGCACATGAGAGCTGCATATTTTTTAATGGAATTATGAAAGTATATCCAATGGCATTGTTTTGTTGGTAAATAGAGTACCTTCCATTTATATTTGGATCCAGTTGTCAGCTGGCTTATGCTAAAATGGGCACTTATAAGAAATCAGAAATATTGAGAAATTGAGAATACCCTTCAAGAGGGGTTTGGACTTAGGGGCTAGAGATTATTCAAATTTTCTTCTAGCTTTTCTTTTTTGTACCATTGTTTCTTCAGACCAACTTTCTCCAGTTTTGTGCTCTGTGGAATAGGCTGAAGATGCCTATGTCTTGTCTTCTAGTTTACTTTTACAAGTTTAGTTATTCAGAGGAGGTTTAACTCTTTGGTTCCAATTTCAGATGCCTGAAGGGTTAATTGTACCAGGCACCCATAACTTGCCATGCTGACTATGGTCAGGGTACAGAGTAATGTTATATATAAAAAGTATGTAGTAAGAGTTAGTATCTTCGGGGCTGGGGATTTAGCTCAGCGGCATAAGCGCCTGCCTTGCAAGCAGGCAGTCGTGAGTTCGATCCCTGGTACCGATAAAAATGAAAAAGACAAAAAAAAAAAAAAAAAAGAGTTAGTATCTTCATCTACTTTTTCTACTTAAACCATGCTATAATTTAGCATGCTACACGGAGCATTATGCTTGGAGATGGACTAACACATGCTTTGTAGTTATGATCGATGTAATTTTTTTCTAGATTCTATTTTTCCATCTGTAAGTTGGAGTTACTATTACCTACTGAGAGTGAGGTAATGTGTTCCGATTTCCAGTGGAGGGTAAAGATCTCTGGGTGCTATTTGTCTGGTTAGTTTGGTGCCTTTGGTATGTCAGTCAGGTTATAAGTTCCAGTTTTTCATCTGTAAATTTAGATGACAATGGTGCTGCTCCATGCTTTTCTGACACTCATAATGCCAACTTCTTGTGTTTTTTTTTTTGGTGGTGCTGTGCCTTGCATGTGCTAGGCAAGAGTTCTGCCACTAAGCTACACCACCCCCAACCTCTCATTTATATTTTAAAATTTATTTTTCTATTCAGAAAAAAAATATTCTTTGTAGAAAACTTAAGTGAACTTAAAAAATAATGAAACTTGTCATCACAACCATTTGTTCTTTGTGCTCATGATATAAATTACAGTGATCCAGAATTAAACAAAAAATAGGAAAGAATCATCTGAAATTTTGCCTTTCTTAACATTCACCCTCTTCCTTTTTTTGATTCTTAGGGATCAAACCCAGGGATAACCTTCCACTGAGCTACAT